GCTGAGGGCCGGGGTTTGGGGGTGGGATGGCAGGGGTAGGGGAGCGGTTGGGCTGGGGGAGCTTCAAGGGCTTTGCCAACCCAAACCATTCTGGGATTCCATCACACATGGGCCTGTCAGCAGCAGCTCAGCTTCGTCTTCTCTTGGGTCCCAGCCTCCCCGAGAAGGCAGAGATGGAGCTGCTGTGGTGCTGAGTCTAGGGGCAAGCGTTCCCATCCTGGGCTTAGAGGAGCTCAGGCTTAGTTTAAGGCTTCTCATTTTCCCTGGGGACAGTGGATCCCACCCCAAAAGGCGTTCGACTGGGACAGACTTTATGTGGGAGGTAACACAACTGCTTTTTGCTGCTTCCTGACCCAACCTCCCAGCCTTGCACTGAGCACAGCTCCAAAACCAGTGCATTACCCTTGTTTTGATTCCCCTGGGGCCTTTTAGCTCTTTAAAAATCACGCCAGGCAGGAAAGAAGCCAGCCGTTAAACACTGGTGGCATTGGGATTCACCTGACAAAAAATGAAACCTGTGGAAGCAGGGGATGATCAGGCAGGCGGGCTGAGGGATGTGACCGAAAGATGTGTCGAGGGACTGGGAAGAACGTTGGGAGCACGGGAGTAGTCTGTGGGGGGATGGGGGAATCGCTGAGGTGAGCAAGGTCTTTGGTCAGAGTTTGCTTCCGCTGAACTGGGAGGGCCGGGAGGGCTGAGGGTGCTCGGGGCATCCAGCGACGCGCTGCTCTGCCGTGGCCCGGCGGCTGCTCGGGTTGTTATGGCCGTCCTTCACCTGCATGGAATGGCCTCGGTGGCTTCGGGGGAACCTCTCCCTCCACGAGCGCTGGTGCTGAGCACGAGGCTTCCGTTGTGCTGAGCTGCAGGAGGGAACCGATGCATTTCCCTTGGCGCGACTTAGCAGAGTAACGCCGCCTTTCTGCTGCAGGCTCGGACGGAGCAGCGTCCAGCTACCAAGTCAAGCAGCTGGAAGAGCAAAATGCGAGGCTCAAGGAAGCTCTCGTAAGGTAGGAGACCACTTGTGCTCCCCAAAGGCTGCCGATGAAGTTCCTTGCGGTGAGAGCCCGCACGGTCTTGGTCTAACATGGGTTTGTGTGGGTGCGCTGATCCCAATACCTCCACGCTGTAACACGGGCGAGCCGGTCTGGGGGTGCTTCTGAGCTCTGGTGCTCCTTTAAGCACGCAGCAGAGAAGGGAGAGTCTCTTCTCGCTGGAGACCAGTGTAGATCAGGAGAAAATGAGCCGCCTCAGGACGCTGCTGCGTGCCATTTCCCCGTGTGTGCAGTGCCCTGCTCCTCCAGCACGGCCGCGGGCTGCTCAGGCAGCCTGTACGGGGCAGCTCCCCCGCCGCCTCCCGCCCAGGTCCTGCTCGAGGTTCCCTGAGCCCGCGCAGCCCCCGGGGCCTGGCCGCTGCCTTCCCCCCTGGGCAAGCCCGTCTGCCAGGGCTTCCAGGCTTTTCCCCCTGGAAGCCACACGTGCTTCAGCCCAGGGGTTCCGGTGGGGTTCCTCGGTGGGGCTCGCCGTCCCGCCTCGCTGCTCCCGTGGGGCTGTGGTTCCGTGTGCCCAGGGTGCCGCACTGCGTTGGGGCAGAGCAGAGCCTGCGCTTAAACACGGTTATTGCTGTCGGGCAGGAGAGGGACGGGAGGGGAATCATCCCCTGCTGAGAGGAAACACCAGAGAGCACCTCGCAGGGGCTCCGGTGCCTGCTTGGGGCCAGAGCTAGCAGGACGGTCTGAGCAAGGGCAGCCCCCGGCCCTCGCCCCCCCGGGCAGTCTCCACGGGGCTGTGGGCAGAGCTGCTGGCACAGGGGCTTCGGCGCACGCGTAGCAAAGCTCCGCGCTCGGCGCGTGATGCTCAGCGCCTTTCCTCGCCGGCGCTTTGCTCTCTGCCGCCGGCCTCTGCCTCACGCCGTGCCAGGCTCTGCGTGTGACATTTTTCCTTGCTCGCTGGGTTGTTCCCCTCCGTGCCCCAGCCTGTCCCACTTAGCGCTGCTTGCTCCTGCCTGCCCCTGCTGCCTCCTTTTCTACATTCTCCTCTCCTGTTCTTCCCACCCCCCGTCGCCCCGATTCTTTCAAAGGAAGGCGCCGTTGCAGGCACTGCTCCCCCCCATCCCTTGCTGTTAATGAGCCGTTCCCTGGGGACACTGCTCATGTCCCCACCAGGGAGGGGCTGCCAGGGCCGGGGGGGGCTTGTCCAGCACGGGCAGGGGGTCTGGGCTCTGCTGGTGCCCACCAAGAGCAGGGTCTGGGGGGGCAGCGGCTTCTCTTGCTCTGGTGCCGGGGTCCCTGCGGGGCTTGTGATGGGCTGGTTGCTCTGTCAAAGGATGCGGGACTTGTCTGCATCGGAGAAGCAGGAACACGTGAAGCTTCAAAAGCAAATGGAGAAGAAGAACACGGAGCTGGAGTCCCTGCGCCAGCAGAGGGAGAAGCTGCAGGAGGAGGTGAAGCAGGCAGAGAAAACGGTTGATGAGCTGAAGGAGCAGGTGAGTGCACAGGGGGAAGGGGAGGCGGGGAGGGCAAGTTTGGGGCCGTCTAGGGCATGGAGCCACTGCTGTCAGGCAGGCTTGGGTCGCCTCCGGGCGCAGAACGCTTTCTGTCAGCCGCCCTCGGGGCCACACTCCGCGACACGCTGCCGGG